TGGTACCTCTGGTTAAGAACTTAAATTTGTTCTGGAGGTCTGTTCTTAACCTGAAAGTGTTCTTAACCTGAGGTACCACTTTAGCTAATGGGGCCTCCCGCTGCCGCCATGCGATTTCTGTTCTCATCCTGAAGCAAAGTTAACCTGAGGTACTATTTCTGGGTTAGTGGAGTCTGTAACCTGAAGCGTCTGTAACGTGAGGTATCTGTAACCAGAGGTACCACTGTATTAAGGCTAAATATATCCAATTTTGTCAATGACTTCTGTTCTTAACAACCTGATACTCAGGGCAGGCTAGAACACAGTAGTAGCCTTTAACAGCAAGTTGTGTGTGTTGGGGAAATTGTGTGCATCTGTAGGAAAGAACATTAGATCCTCTAACTGTCCCCCCCCCAGGGGTAAGGGGTGTGGTTTTCCCCCTCCCTCAAACCCACTGCACTGTGGCATTGCTGGCAACAACAGTGGCAACAACCCTCCACTGTGCAACTGTAGATCCTTTTAAAGGTTCAGGCTACTTACCTTCAGGGACGCGGGTGGCGCTGTGGGTAAAAGCCTCAGCGCCTAGGGCTTGCCGATCGAAAGGTCGGCGGTTCGAATCCCCGCGGCGGGGTGCGCTCCCGCTGCTCGGTCCCAGCGCCTGCCAACCTAGCAGTTCGAAAGCACTCCCGGGTGCAAGTAGATAAATAGGGACCGCTTACTAGCGGGAAGGTAAACGGCGTTCCGTGTGCTGCGCTGGCTCGCCAGATGCAGCTTGTCACGCTGGCCACGTGACCCGGAAGTGTCTACGGACAGCGCTGGCCCCCGGCCTCTAGAGTGAGATGGGCGCACAACCCTAGAGTCTGTCAAGACTGGCCCGTACGGGCAGGGGTACCTTTACCTTTACTTACCTTCGCTCACCATTACTTTTTTACTTCTGTGCATTCTTTGGTTTCGGTATGGTTATTCCAAGTTGCTTCATCCCTATACACATGCATTTGGGAGTAAATCCCAGGTGGGAGTGGCTTTTGAATATATATTATTATTATTATTATTATTATTATTATTAACCCCACGTGGCTGGGTTTCCCCAGCCACTCTGGGCGGCTTCCAACAAAATATTAAAATACAATAATTCAATAGAGATGCATAGGATTACACTGTTGGAGTTTAAGTTCAAACTCCTTTCCAAATGGTGAATAATACATGAAGCAAAGGGACAGCTTTTGTTTATTCCTTCTACAGTGAATCAATAAGAGGAGAGACATACTTCAGGGGCCTGGTTTGAATGTCACAGTAAGCCAAAGGATTGCTTACTGGGACTGCACACACCAAGAATAAACCTCGGGTGCCGATTGTGTTTAGGAAGGAGAAAGCTTATTCACAAGCTAAGTCAAACCTTGGTTTAGCTCAGTGTGCTGTGGGATTAAAAAAAGACCGGGGAGGAGCCAGACAGCTGTGACCTCCTCTCTGGGAATCCGTATATTCATGCGGTTGTGGCAAGCCAAGATCTGTCCCCTTGCACTCTGTTAAGGCACTATGCACACTCAATATGCTATATAAACAAATAAAAATAGCAATCCTTGTACTTCCTTACTTCTTTCCTGCCTGGAAACAGCCACAAAGTTCACAAAGTTTCTTCCTTACTCTGACTTTTGTATGTACCTTTTCAGCCACTCCCTTGCCTTGCTCATGAGACTTACCTCTTACTCCCAAGGAGGCTGTTGCTCATGAGGAAGCTTCCTTTTCACCTCCCAATCCACTTAGCCTTCCCTTTTCTTCCACAACTCTAGTTGCTGTATCTGGGGGTCTATGACAAGTAGGAGCGACCTCTGAACTCCCTCACTTTCCATGTACTGGTAAAAGTGGGGGGAAAGAATAACATCGAATGGAACGTTAAAAACCTCCCCCCCCAATATTGCTTAACTGATAATCACTTGTAATCTGAGGGGGGGGGAAGAGTCAAATTCTCATATAAGTGGAATTTTACTACTTTACCTTAAACCCGTTAAGAAGTTGCTATAATCCAGTCTATATCTTTTATATGGAAAGAGATGGTGACTGGAACATCTCCCATCATTAGTGATGTGTGATTTATCTCATATTGAAGGAGTGGATTGATCATAAAAAGAGGACTGAAATTAAAAGGAGGCATTAAGCCAGTTATTAATTTCTGAAATGAAAGGTAATGGGACTGAGACTTTAAATTCATTTGGATGCATGGGTGGCGGGGGCAGGGATGGAGAGGTGGGTTATGGAAGGTCACACAGATCTTCCCTTAAAAAAAACACCATACACCTTGAAAACAGGATAGGAGGAGTCCTGAATTTGGTTGAGTAATGTGTTTTAACTGATCCAAATTGCAGTTTAGATGTGGTATTAGCATCCTCTGTACAGATTCCTGTGTAGGGTTGATTGCAGTTTTAGGATGTGGAGAACTGAGATCACTGACATGGATCCCCCTCCCCAGGTGTAGTTTGACCCTCAGTGGTAAAAAACAAACAAAAATGTTTTCGGTATAAACAGTCTCTTCCATTATTCTTTTGAAAATACGTTTTGTAGCTAATCTTTGGCTCAAGTTACACAAGGGTGCTTGTATAGTCTGTATAGTTAAAGCTATGGTTTTCCCAGTAGTGATGTATGGAAGTAAAAAGGCTAATTGCCAAAGAATTGATGCTTTTGAATTATGGTGCTGGAGGAGACTTTTGAGAGTCCCATGGACTGCAAGAAGATCAAACCTATCCATTCTTAAGGAAATCAGCCCTGAGTGCTCACTGGAAGGACAGATCCTGAAGCTGAGGCTCCAGTACTTTGGCCACCTCATGAGAAGAGAAGACTCCCTGGAAAAGACCCTGATGTGGGGAAAGATGGAGGGCACAAGGAGAAGGGGACGACAGATGAGATGGTTGGATAGTGTTCTCGAAGCTACCAGCATGAGTTTGACCGAACTGCGGGAGGCAGGGGAAGACAGGAGTGCCTGGCGTGCTCTGGTCCATGGGGTCACGAAGAGTCGGACACGACTAAACGACAGCACACAAGGGTGCTATGTATTTCAAATTTTGGGAGGAGCCGTAGGAGTGATTACTGCCCTCTTGTAGCATTCCTTAGAGCAAGGGGTAGGGAACTTCTAGCCTAGGCGCTGAATGTAGGCTTCTCTAGCCAGCTCTCGTGGGTGCTCCCTTCACCTGAATCCTAAATGTATTTATTTTAATGTAGCCATCCAGCTAGTCAACATGTTCAGAAGTAACTCCTTGTTATTGACTGTTTTTGCCAAAGACCCTTGAAGACTCCAGTTTTCGTTTAACAAGTGACCCACTTTGTATTGTGTTTTTCTTTATGTTATGGATGGATACGCATTAACAAAAAAAAAGTCTGACTGGCTTCAGACCTTATGCCCGGCATCCAACAGAGCCAAGCTAGTTTTTTAATTTGGTTTGGAGTCCTACAGTGTTCTATGGACAAATCAAAACTGTATGTCTTTCAAGTGCCTTACTTTGTTATTGTTAAATGGACAAATAAAGCAATTTGTTAGAAGTTCTGAAATGTATAATCCCATACAATACATTAAATGACCACAGCTTCTCTTCAGCACCATGAGGTACAGTACTCGGGCTTCAGTTGTAAGACAGCAACCTGCAGGTACAAGTCACACACATGCGCCCACACTGCCTGAATTATTTCTGCAGGCACCCAGGCAAGCACTTGGGACTGTCCTCAGGCTATGCGTCCCTATGCCAGGCCAGTGGCTCTGGACTGCACCTCCCGTGAGTGGGCTTTTTGCCCTTATTGTGATAATGCTTCTTGGATGGACAGGCATGAGTAGAAACCTCCAGATTTTGCATGGTTGGAACATAAGCACCTGTAGAAAGGTAAGAGTCATATTCCTTACTTCAACCAGTTTTGCCTCTGACCCTGTTCACTTTTGCATCTGCCTCTGCCTGCTACAGACATTTAGGCCTATAAGCCACATATAAATAAATAAAGTGGTCCCTGGGAGATTGCTCATGAGAGAAGATTTACTTGGGCTGCAAGGGTTCCCCACCTCTGCCTTTGAAATAGTGAAGACGATCTCCAAAAGAATATTGTGACTTATAAATAAATAAATAAATAAATAAATAACCTGCTAACCAGACGGGTTATTTATTAATGCGTATCATTTTCATCCCCTCTTTCCCCCAAGAAGTTCCAAATACCATTTGAGACTCTGCATCGAGCCAGTTGTGGTAGGTGAGGTTGAGACAGAGGCGCCCAAGACAACTCAGCCAAGCTCCACAGCTGAGGGGGGGGGGGGAATCTGAGAGCCCACCTGGCACGAGCTGCTGATTCCCGAAATCGTGCTCCCGGTTATGCACACACACACACACTCGGCCCGCAAAACGGTTGTTGTAGAACAGCAACACCCTTGCACCCCGCCCCCCATCCCTTTCTATCGCCCGGTCCCAACCAAGCGCCGCGGGAAGCGAGCCCCGCTTACTTCAATGGGATTTATTTGTAGGTTTAGCTTTACCGCCTAACACGCCAGTCCCCAGCTAGCAGCTTTACTCGAAAGTAAGTTTTGTGGCGGCTACCTCGAGACGACCTAGGGGTTGTTACTACAAATATTTGCAAAGCACCTTGCATACCTTTTGGTAGAAAGGCGGCGCGTGAATAAATAAATAATAAAAGTCCCAATGGGCTCAGCAGGGACTAGCTATCAGTTTAGTTTACGCCTGCAAAAAATAAAATAAAATATTGCGCAGCGGGGCAGCGCAATACCAGGCACTGATTGATAACGTTCTCCTGAAAAGCTGAAGTCCCGCCGCCGGCGCCGCGTCCAAAGGGCGTGTTCCCAAGTCGGGGCGCGCGCAGGATCCACGCCTCGCGCTCTGTTTTTGCGGCGGCTTTTTCCCCGCCTTCCTCGCCTCGCTCCCCTTACCTGCCGCTCACTCGCGTCGGGCTCGCGAGCCCTCCCTCGGCAGGGCCCACCCACCGCCTCCGCCATTGGCTCGGCGGGCTGCCCGTCTCCCCCCCGCCCATGGCCCGGAGGCAGGTCCGCGGAAGGCGGCAGCCCTCTCAGGGGCCGGCGGAGGCAGCGGGCTGCTCTCCCGGAGCCCCACAGCTCAGGCTCCCCGCCGCTGCCGCCGCCTCCCAGGAGCGGCTTCCCAGCCGGCGGCGTTTCCGCGCTTGGGACAGCGGAAAGCGATGCGGGTAGCAGCAAGCCGCTAGGCGGTGCCTGGGCTCGGTGTTCCCCTTTCCCCTTCCCGGCGGAGGATGCTGCCGTTGCTGGAAGAAGAGGCGGGCGGCTGACTTTCTTCCCCGACCCGCCCAGGCGGCGGCGGCGGCGGCGGTTGTCTCCCCTCAGGACTTGGCGGCGGCGATGGGCGAGAAAGTTTCCGCCGAGCAGCAGCTGCGGCAAGATTACGGCGGCGGCCGGAGGGTCTCGTCCTCTTCTTCCAGCTCGTCAGGCTCGCAAACTCTCTCCGAGGAGGGCGACGGCGATGCCTCAGCCGGGCAGCTCGGCGGGACGGGCTTCGCTGCCCCCCTCAGCCGCGGCGCCCCCCAGCGGCAGGTGGCGGCGGCGGCGGCTTCTTTCCCCCTCGCCGGGGAGAAGGGCGACCATGTGTTGGGCGAGGGGCAGCGCCGTCGGGGGAGCGAGGAGGAAGAGGACTCGGCCAGTGGCGGAGGCGGCGGCCACTTTCGTCCCGAGAGCGACGCCTCGCTGGAGGAGCAGGACGAGGAGGTGCGAGGATATTGTGTGGGGAGGGAGGCCTCATTCCTCGCCGCCGACGGGGGGAGCCCAGACGTGTGCGAAGGGGCGGCGAAGACGGCGCCCGCAGGCTCCTCCGCCTCCCGGTTGCCGCCCACGGGGCGAGCCCTGGCCAATTGTGGCGGGAAGTGGGGTGGCAGCTGGACGTGGCCCGCCGCGCTGCCTCCCCCCCGCCTCGGGCTCGCCCAGGGCTGGGCTCCCTGCCCGGTGTTGACGGGCGGGCCTGCCCCTCCCAGGTTGACTTTGAGGGCTGTGTTGATGTCTCTCCTCCGCGTTCCCTGCGGCTTGCCGCAATTGAGGCTCCCGGAGCTTGCTTCCTTCCCCGCCCCTTCGGGTTGCCGCCTCGGAGTCCCTTTCATGCTCAGCCGGCGCGTGCTTGTCTTGTGGGGGTCGGCGAGCCACCGGCGACGTGCTTGCACGTGGGGATGCACGGTGGCCGCTTGAAATGGCACAGCCGAGGAGCAAACTGTCCCGAGAGCAGCAGAGTTGAAATCTTTTTTTCCCCCAGCAGGGGGCTTGTGCTTTGATAGCCCGAGCGCTCGTTATCAGAGCCTTCGGTAGCTTGGCTATGTTTTAATGTTTAATAGGTTATTGTATTTTAGTGTTTTGTTGGAAGCCGCCCAGAGTGGCTGGGGAAACCATGGGCGGGGTATAAATAATAAATTATTATTATTATTATTAGCTGTACTGTATTAGAACCCCAGGGTAACATAGTGGGAAGTGGAACATAAGCATGCCTCCTGCTTCTTTTCAGTGGGGGCAGCCTCTGGGGGCAGAAATCTTTGAGAAGAGGAGACAAATTCCAGAGGAATGCCTGTGAAGTCAGCATTGCCCACCAGTGTCTTTAAATACTACTTTGGTTTTGGTGAGGAGGCAGTACCTTTAACTGGAGAGTTCTGAAACTTGAGGAATTTTGGGCGAATGTGTGTATGGGTGGCTGCTCTTGAAGACGGGGCCTGTAATTAAGAGTTACAGATGTGCAGAGGCCTTGTATCCTTTTTAAAACTCTGGTTAGGCGAAGAAAGCTGCTTCTGTCTTCACAAACTTGGCGGCTGCCCACTGTGAATAAATAATCTGTTTGCCTGAGTGGCTGAACTAGGTTGCAAGGTTACACAACTCTATTTCAAGCTTCCCTCTGTTCTAGAGAAGGGCTGACATTGTAGGGAAACAGGATTTATTTTATGCCAGTGCTCCTTCTTGGCATCTGTTCTCAAATGCTAGGGGCTCAAAGCCGGAAACACTAAGAAATGGTCCTGAGCAGGTGCATAGTCCTAGGGTGGGTGGGTGGGTGGGTAGTGTTTGCAAACAGATGGCCCCAATATCTGTTCCTAAGTAACCAGTGTTAGAAACTGAGATATGAAAGCTAGGAGGTAAATGGCACCTTAAACCTAACGGAATGTCTAGGAGCACTTTTTAATAACAAAAGCTGAAAACGAATGGCACTGCAGCTGAAATACTATGTTCATTTTTCATATCGTCTAGTTCTTCCCCTGTCCACCCCCTTAATATTCTCAAGAGGGTCTCTTCTCCAGTCTTCAGAGAGTAGCTGAAGTGGGAAGGGGAAAGAAGTCCTCCTTTCCTTCTACTCTGCAGTTTTAATCTGAAATCTTAGGTGCAGTACTGCATCCAGAGCTCAGAAATTGCTTGCACTAATGAGGTTTCCTGTCGCAAAATGCATCTAGAACAATGGGAGTTTTGAATACTGCTAGTAACTTAAGTCTACTTCTTTTCCTGCGGATTTTGCTTCTGGGTATTATAGCTACTAGGGTGTGAACTTGGTGTCAAGCATTCATTACATCCTTTGCTTCCAGTTGACAGTAATCTTGGAAGAGCTAAACAGCATAGTTTTATGGAATAATGGGTGATTTTGCAAGTGATCTGTTGGGTGAAAGTGTTCACACACTTCAGTCTACATGCATTCATATCTGAATTTTGAAAAATGATACGTCCAAATTAATAAAATTAGCATGTGTCAATAGCATGCGTATGAGAAAGTATAGCTTAAGGTGAAGTGTGAGCACTTTCACAACTAGTGGTAATACTTTTTAGTGACAAGTGTCTTAGGTGATGTATACTTTCAGATTCCTTTTGTAGTTTACACTCTCTGATTTTCAGAATGGTCAATGAATGTTAACCATGTCACGCAAGAAGCTTAGAATGGATAAAATAATGGGACAGCAATAGAATCTGGTTTTATTTTTGAGAAAGTGACTGCTGATGCCATACTTCACTGCTTCATTTTGTACATTAGCAGGTTTTTTTAACTTAGGTATATAATTTTATACTATCTTCACTAATTATTCCAGGGCACTTTGCAGTTTCTGGTGTACATTGCTATCATGTATTGTTCCACAGCTTTGTTGCAGTCAGCAAATTTGCTCATGGTTGAAATTGAACCTTAAGCGTATGCTATGCTTGGCCTATGATATGCAGTGGATAAACAAATGGATATCTACTCAGGTAGAACAGAGCTATTTCTGACTTTAAATGGAGCTCTCAAACTTTTTATAGTTAAGGAAAAACTGTTGGGCCTGCCCAATATTAGTAGGAAGTCTGTGAAAAAAGTAAGGCGTTGTCTGGATTGGTTCTTAGTCATAGTTTGACATGAGAACAAGTCTAGCTTTCTCCTATGTTTGTGCTCTTCCCCTCCTGTAAGATGTGGCAGTGAAAATGAGTTAGTGTTTCTTTTTGATTAACTGTAGTTTGCTGTGTTTTCCTCACCTGGATAAACTGTGTTTAATCTTGACTTAGTTTAATGGAAGCAAGCCAACTTCAAATATTGTTTATGATCCAGGCTTGTTTTCATTAAGCATAATTAAGAATAACTGCACTTTAGACGATGGGCAACATACTAAATTACAGCTAATGTAAAATGGAAGCAGAAGCTTGTGTTCAATGCCATGTGGCAGTTCCAGGGGAGGGGTGGGGAGTCTGAGTTGTTATGTCCAAATGCAGTGATCAAATCCCAGTACTAGGGGCCAATACTAAAAGTGGAAGAACACATAATGATAATTATTTGCTCATAAGTCTCATAAATTAAAATCAGACTCATAACATTTCTATAAATCTCAGTTTGCCAGTATACATAGAAGCCATTTGTCTTTATATCTGCTGTGGTGCATATTTCATTTAAAACTGCTATGATGCTTCTGCTGCCTTTAAGTGGCAAGGACTGTGTTGTTAAGAAAGGAATTCTGTAATAGAAGAGTGCATTAAAACATGAATCTTTAACTGTTGGCTTGCAGTCTGACCTAAGGTGGGTTAGCACCAAGAGCACCACAACCATACCATATACAGAGGGGGGGGGAGTTAAAAATTGGTCCCATAATTCATGTTTGGGCTAAAGGTGAGCCCTGGGTTTGAACATAAGGTCTTTGAAAAGTCACGGCATCCACAAATAGCAATGCAACTCTTTCAGAGTTTCTCTTTCAGAGAAATGGGGCAACACTAGATAGATGAGTATAAGTTGCTGTAATAGTGTCAGCCAGTGTTTCCTCAAACAGTAATCTGGGGACCATGAGTGATCCTTTGCCTACTTTCAGGTCGGCTTCTCTGCCACTGCACATCCAGTTCTGCCTCTTCCTCTTCACCACCTTGTGGTGTGTGATTTTTCATTGGACTAATGTTGGTACCAGCAGTGCCCAACATACTGAGTACAGGTGATTGGGTGACAGAGATGTTTGGTGGTGTGGTTGGAAAAGTAGTCCTCTTTCCTCTGAGGTGGTTTTTGGTGACACAGCTTCCCTTTGAAAAATCACATGCTATGTGTGGTTCAGCATATCAGTAAGTGTCTGAAAAAATGCTTGCTCTGTATGTGAAAAATGAATTTGTAAGCATTTATAAAGCAATAATGATGATGATGATGATGATAATAATAATAATAATAATAATAATAATAATAATAATAATAATAATAATAATTTATTTATTTATACCCCATCCATCTGGCTGGGTTTCTCCAGCCACTCTGGGCGGCTTCCAACAAAAGATTAAAAATACATTAAGACATCAGTCATTAAAAACTTCCTTAAACAGGGCTGCCTTCAGATGTCTTCTAAATGTGAGGTAGTTGTTTATTTCTTTGATATCTGATGGGAGGGCATTCCACAGGGTGGGTGCCACCACCGAGAAGGCCCTCTGCCTGGTTCCCTGTAACCTCACTTCTCACAGTGAGGAAACCACCAGAAGGCCCTCAGCGCTGGACCTCAGTGTCCAGGCTGAACAATGGGGGTGGAGATGCTCCTTCAAGTATACTGGACTGAGGCTGTTTAGGGCTTTAAAGGTCAGCACCAACACTTTGAATTGTGCTCGGAAACGTACTGGGAGCCAATGTAGGTTTTCAAGACTGGTGTTATGTGGTCTCGGCGGCCACTCCCAGTCACCAGTCTAGCTGCCGCATTCTGGATTAGTTGCAGTTTCAGTAGTTATTCTCTTGAACTGGGGAAAAACTTGTTCCCTGTTTTTAATATTGGTGGCTATCAGCTTGAGACAGGGTGGCAAAGTTCCCCCATCCCTATGTGGTCTTCACTATAGCTTTGAAAATGTCTCAATGAGACATGGGAAGACCAATGATAGTGAGAACTCAAGAGGCGCCTTGTATCTAGGAAGATCAAAAGAAAAGCAGTGTGCGGTTTCCCACTTGTGTAGCTTTGAGTTGTATTTATGCTCTATAGGAAGGGAGGACCTAACACATGGGACCCTGGCATTACCAACACATTACCATAACACAGTGACCTGTCACTTAATGTCCGTGATCACCAAAAAGTGTTGCCTTTTGATGTAGTACACTAACTGGTATTTCTAGATGTCATTTCATAAAATGCATCCTTTAGGAAATTAACAGTTGGTGGTGGGGTTTTTCCCCCCGCATGTTTGCTTATTTTTGTGTGTGAAACTTCATCTATTTCCCTTAATATTGAATTTGATTGTAATTGCATTCTAGATTTGTTAACGATTTTCTTTTATCTGTTGCC